AATAATAAGAAGAAGAATTATAATAATTATAATATTAATATATAATAATAATAATAATAATAATAATAATAATAATAATAATAATAATATTAATATTAATATTAATAATAATAATTATAATAATCTTGTTTAAATTGCGCTAACTCGTTAAATTTATTTATTTCTTACTTAATCGATTTGAAGGGCATCACTGTCCCTTATTTCATATTACGTCTTGTTCAAAATAGAGGATATCTTTGTTACCTAAGTTTTTCCTGTTTTGGGTATTCACATTGGATGAAAATTTATTTTAAAATGAAGCATATTGACCATTACACAAACGTGATTTACGGTCACCATCATGAAATGGTAACTATAAAAAGATTTACAGATAAATTACATTACTAATATGTCTTTAATTGATTAAGACAAATGTTTAGAAGCGATTCGATTCATTTCTTCGAGTGCCGTGATTCTTAAATACACATATTTCTGTGAGTACTCTCATTAACTAGGATCGTCGGTCCCTATTTTTATTTCCTTACACACCTCCTATCTATCAGAAACTTTTGCACGAGTCAAAAATTATCAGTAGATTTAATTTAAGAAAGAAAAGAAAAAAGAAAAACCAAGCAAAAAGATAAGAAAAAAAAGAATACAAAAGGGAAGAAATTAAGATTGGTATTATTTTTTTAAACACCTCTCTTGGTGCTTATAGAGATGAGGACAACTATTTTCTTTTTCTTTTTTTCTTTTCATATTAAACTTAATTTAGATATATTTATAAATTCTTCATTAAAATTCGATTTATTATCTCTTTGTTTCTCTCTCTCTCTCTCTCTCTCTTTTTCATTCTCTCTATCTATCTATATATATATATATATATAATCTATATATATACGTCCTCTTTATATAACGATAATGCAATTATTTATGAAAAATGAGATCGCAATAAGTCCAATTGAATTTTCCTTCTACTTTGATTCTCTCCCGTACAAAAAAAAGAAAATAAAAACTGTATCACAGATAAAAATTTATAATGAATCCGTTTCCTTGTTACTTCATTGATGAAGTATGCCGCTTGAAGAAGTGAATCGACGTACGTATATATAATAAAACTAAAACCAAAAATACATAATACAAATTTGAGAGAGATGGTAACTTTTTCAAAGAAATATATCAGATATACCTAATTATTTAAAAAATATGTATTATTAGTATTCTATTTTGTTTGCAAATAGCATGCTTAAAATAATGTCATTTTATTATGTTAATTACGGTAATTGAACTAAGGTAGCGATCAGAATAGTGGAATCAATTATGAATTAATTTCGGATTTATAAAGGTTTGAAATATTAAGTTAATTTTATACGAATATCCCTCGTTCCATCCTCTGGTAAAAAATATTGCAGTTATTTTCAATCTTACAAAACAGGAGGTGTACCAGATTAACATTTCATTTAAAGTCCGTGATCGTGGGTGAATGTGTACAGCACAATATTGTACATACATACATACTTACATACATACATACATGCATGCATACTTAGATGCAGAAAAAACAATGACAAAATTTGTCTTTAGTTTATTAAAGATAATTATTAACAGGCAACTTTAGCAGTCGTTTTGTTAATGAAAAATTATAAAAACGGCCGATTGACAAAAATGTCAATAGTCGTTACGAACGTATATGTAGTAGCTTATAAGCATGGAACGGACAATAAGGAACGCGAATAATAGGACGCGTTATTTTTATTTAAAAAATATGTTCACGTTCACGACTGATCGACGGACTATTATGAAACGATCTAATTTGTTACATTCATTATTATTTTAGGAGTGAAATTTTTCTAATCTTTTGAACACAGTTTAGTGTGGCGTGTAGTGACATCGACAATTCTATCAAATATATACCGGAGAGAAGAATTAGAAAAATGTTATATACTTAAAAACGCATATTATGACATCTAAAATTGTATATTATATTATTTTATAGAACGGAGGCTGCTGCTGTAAAAGTATTGATAAAATTGTCGTTGCGCTACGATAAGTGATATACAGCTCTGGAGTTTATTAATTACTTCGCATTGGTTTCACAATATTTGCCGTTCAAGTTAACGCAGATTCCAAGTCCAATAAGAGTTAAGAACACCCACCAATTAGGCATTCCATTGGAAATGCAACGCAATCTTTCTCTTCTTGTTATTAATTACCGTAATTATATAATCTAGTGTTGTCAAGAACGGTTCGAGATATCCTCTCTCTTACATTATATATTGTACAGATTAGGCATTTTCTCCACAATGGTGATGGGTACAATTAAGTACACGTACATGGGAACATTGCGTCTTTACAGCTTCTTTGCTAAATATATATTGCATGAATCGCGTTTTATGTCAGCTTCAAATATTTTACATTTTACAGCTATAAACATTTTCTTTATTTCTTATTTCTTCTTTTTTTTTTTTTTNTTTTTATTATTATTCCTCTTTTAATATCTCAAGATAAATGTAAGTATTCGTTACAAGAATAAAGTGTGATCATTTTTTTTTTTAGAATTTACTCTGCAACAATTAGGTTTTTGTTTTTTTCATGATTTTCTCGTGTGTAAGTCAAATAAGATAGAAATAATTAATATTGTTAGCTTAAGTACCACACCTTGTCGATATATGCCTTTATATATGTTTCTTTTTATAATAATAAATGATTATTTCTCATTATTAATATCGTAGAAGAGAAGACTCTCTTTGATTGATTTATTTTTTTTTTTATAAACAAATCAATTCTGATTTAATCTTGCGTTTGCAAAGTGCGATACTTTTAATTTTTTTCTTCTAGACCCTCCCCCCCCACCCCTCTAAACGTCGTCGACAACGAAAAAACAAATCTTTCACACAACGAAAATTGTTTTTTAGTTTTTCTTTTTTTCTTCGTTATTAACAAAAAAAGCAAAAGCAACAGTCAAATGATGGTTCTTTTTGTTGTTGTTGTTGTTGTTATTTCATTTAAACATTAAACGGATATATACACGGGTGCTATTATAATGCTTGGTGTGATTTATCTCGGAAAAAATCTTATGCGCCATTCGTATTGCACGTAAATTCCTCGGGAAAAGCTGCATCATTTATCACACAGCTTATTTATTAGTATAATTTCAACGCGAAAGGAACCATATTCGTCATCATCATCATCATCATCATCGTCATCATCATCATCATCATCATAATCATAATCATCATCGTCATCATCAGAGATCGATCGGTTTAATAATAAATGATAAAGCATTCCAATTCAGTCGCACGCTGAAAAATATTATTTCGTCGATCGTATAACGTGATGTTGTTGTACTAATATGTAAGTCTGTGGATTGGCCTCCAGAACTCTCTAACAAAATAGATCGATAGATATTCCGAAGATATTGTATATATTGTAAAATCAAAATGAAAGAATGAAAAGAAAAGAAAAGAAAAACTTAAAAAAAAAAAAAAAAAGAAAAAAAGTAAAAGATAATCTCAGACCATATATATTTCATACAATAATACAATATAATTATTCAAATTGCGATTAGAAATTTGACAAATAGTGCATAAAAATGTATTATTATTTCGGCATTCGGTAATACTCGTTCTTTAATGTTAGAGGTACAGTTCTTACAATATAAACGCTTATTTTGTCCTATGGAATTCAATATGGGTTAAGTATCAAAAATAAATATACAACTTTTGTAAATGAAAAGTGCCACGATTTAAAGCACCTGAATTATTCTCTCCCTATCTCTCTCACGCTCTCTCTCTCTCTCTCTCTTTTTTCTATTTTTCTCTCGATTGCTTATTTTAGACACGTGGGATGGTATAAACATCGCCATTGGCAATGACTCATGTTTGGTTGCATTTCCACTGGTAGGCCATTTGAAAGAGTCGGTACAATGTCATTTGTTATCAGGCGAGGAAACCCATACAATTAGGTATACCAATCAGTATGAATTGTTTAAGTTCATTTGAAAAAGATCGTTTTTTTTTCTTTACTTTACTTTACTTTACTTTACTTTACTTTACTTTTCTTTTCTTCTCTTCTCCCCCTTTCCTTTTTTTTATTATTATTTTTATTTATTTTTTTTTGTTTTAATTTTATTTTTAAATCTACTGAATGCAGCAAGAATTCTTCTGTCCATTTTTGAGCTTCAATCGTGACTTGGGACGATACTTCTCAAGGTAGGCCAGCTGTTTTGAGTTAATAGCGCCTCGCCTTTTCCTAAAAATGAATTATTTAATTGTTAATTGATTTTTTGATTATATATTCATTATTAATACTATTTCAATTATTATTAATTGAATAACGATGATAATTAAACTTCAATTTTAAGATAGTAAGGAATGTTCACAAATATTTTTGATTGAATATTATTATTATTATTATTTGGTTAATCATACTAACTCTCTGATCAGAGCAACAGCGTCCTCGTACTTTAGACCCAATTCAATGAGAGCTAGGGCAACTAATACGGGTGCTCTGCCGAGTCCTGCTACACAGTGTACCGCTACACAAGCATCAGGTGTTTCACGGAATCGATTTTTCAATAATTCGAACCATTCATCGACTACCTGTAATTATAACGTTCTCGTATAAAAACCACAATTATATATTACTCATAAATGTACCGATAATTATGATAATTGGATTAATTAAGAGTCAACAAATTGTAAAAACAAATTGGATTTTATGATTCATTTTAATATCATAAATATTTGTATTGTTATCATAATTTTATCGACACAATGATAATAGAGTGTTTTCTTTAATAACAGTCATTTTATCTACTGAAAAATTAGAAATATTTTTAAGTATATATTATTACTGTATATATATATATATTCTGAATTTTTTTGAAATGGTGGTATCGTGAATTTGTATTTTAACAACGTTGTAACTGGAGATTCATATTTTTAAATAACAAAAAAGAATATTGCAACAAAAACAAATATATATATATATATATGAAATGAATTTAATTTAATGACCTCGTTTGGTGGAAACGTCCCATCGTCGAATACCAAATCTATGACATTGATCCCTTCTGTCTTAAGTTCTTCAACTTTGTACGTTGGTTCACAGACTCTCACTACTTCTTTCACATTGTGCTTTTTCAGTTCCTAAAAGAAAAAGGAAGATGACCATTTTTTCTTATAAATACATATATATATATATTTTTTTTTAACACTTTCACGTCCGCAATTAATTCCGGCAATTTTTAGCAAAAAAATTCATTTGCAAATAACTATTATTAAAAACAATATAAAAAACCTTTCACCTGATTTACTCGCTACAATATATAATATATAATATATTATAAAAAATTGTAAGATTATAAGAGGAATATTCGAAAAATTGGCAAAAGTATAAATATTTAATTCATTAATAATGTTTTTTATACACCATCGGGGACATGAAAGTGTTGCTTTTTTATTTACGTATTATAAATTAAACTTACTTGAATAAAAGTATGAATGGTCTGATCATTGGGCCGATCAGTGATGAGGAACTTCATGTTTTTGTATTCAATCTCGGCGGGCGCCGGCCTGATATCCTTTACCCTCATGTTGCTCATTTCCTCCTTACAACTACAAGTGGTTTAAATTTACTTTTTTTTATCCCTTTTTCTCTCCCTTTTTTACTATATCGTTCAAATTACTTTTAAAAGGATTTCCTTCTTCTTGCCCGGGTGACGTTTTCTTTTTTTTTCTTTTTTATATCCGACACACCGGTTGCTCACACTTATAATGTTTCTTAATTTGTATTTTTTTTTCCCCCGTTTTTCTTTCTCTCTTTTTGTTGAATCTTTTGCAAATGTGCCACACTAATGCGAAGCTGGGCTGAATTCAGACAACTTAGCCCATAGATGTCAGTCTTATAAAGTTGTTTTTCATTTAACTAATCGAATACTTTGTTAATCTTTTTTTTTTCTTTTGTTAATTAGTAATTTGTTTTTTTTTTCTTCCTTTTCTTCTCTTTCTTTGTGTTTTTTTTTCTTTTTTCTTTTTTTTTTTTTTTTACAGAGGACAAAACAGTGAGGGGGTCAAGGGGGGTTTTACATGTAGATTTTTAGGGGAAGAGAGTTTTTTGCTGAGCGCGAATCTCGCCGAAGGAAGAGGGGAGGGGTATTGGTGAGGACTAAGTTACATTAGGCGGTGTTGATATGCGATTTTATTATTCCCACCAAGGGATCTTTCTCTTCGACTAATATTCGGAAGATTATCTGTAAACGAAAATGAACAAATAAGATTTCTAATAATAGAATATAATATATATATATATAATTAAATAATTAACACGTTAGTGTCACCATTATTTGTCACCCATATTGGTAGGGCGGAGGGGTGGGCTTTACAGAGGCCTTAAAACTTAAAACATGGATGACGTTCTTCTTATTCATATTAAATTGAAATGAAAACAAAATGACTGAAATATAAAATATACAAAATAACAAACAAAATGAAATATTATTATATACACATTATACTATATACTTTTGATTAATTTAGATTAAGAATAAAATATAATATCGTTCCATAGTTTAGAGGAAGGATTTGGGCCTCATATGAGAAAAACTCCAACCAAATCATGGTTAATTACTAACGTGTTAATATAAATATAAATTATAT